TGCCCTCTCAGTGCACAGTCGGCCACTGACTCCACCATTCAGCCTAGACCCGGGGCCTCCTGCAGCCCTGCCTTGGACAGCACGGCTGGGCAGCAAGTGTCCAGGAAGGCTCACCCCGTGACCTTCTTCCCAACTAAATAAAGCAGTTAGTATTTTGCCCTGCCATTTGGATGGACACACTGGCGTCGAGGGAGACAACACTTGTTGCCGTGGCCGGGCTTGTTTATGTAGCGGACCAGCCAGTCACAGTTGCACCTTATGAAGGCTGCCAGCTGGTGAGGCAGAAGTGAACTTGAACTTGAAGTTGGAGTTGAACTTGGGCCTGGTAGCAGCTCCGTCACCTGCTGGACACACAGGCACACATCCCATGTGCACGGCCGTTCATCCAGCTCTTCGACATGCCAGCTCCCCCAGCTCCAGGATTGTGAAATAACATTTGCTATGTCTTTAACAATTTTCCTGATGTTTTCTGAGAGCTTGCTCGGTGCCCTGCTTTCACATCCGTGTTCATTTTACCTGCATAACGAGGCTGAGATGGAAAGACCGTTGTCTTCCCTCTTACAGATGACAAAGCTGAGGCCCCAGAGAGGTGAGGTGACTGGCCCGAGGCCACACAGCTAGCAAGTGGCATTTCTGAACAAAGGTGGTTCAACTTGAGAGTCTGCACTATTAGCTGTCACCCTGTGTTCCTACCCCCATGGGTTGGAAAAGCAAGGGATTGTCTCTCTCGGCTTCCACACTTAAGTCAGGACAACCCTCCCCTGCCGCTTCTTTGCACTTTCTTATTCAGTCCTGCTGCTTCTCATTGTCCTCCTGGCGCACGCCTAGCCAGAAGGGCTGCTGCTGCTTTGGCCAGGCGTCTGTGAGCAGGAGAAGGAGGGTCTCCGTGTGTCCCGTTCCTTGGTGCCCGCGCTGCGGCTCCCATAGCTTGCCCCTCCAGCCACGGGCTCCCCCTTTCAGCAGCATCCGTGGGGCAGCCCTGGAGCCAAAGCCTCTGGCTGGTCTCGAGGCCTGGGAGCTGGGGACCGGGGCCCTGCTAGGTGGTGAGTAAGGACGTGGGCTCTCCCTGGGGCAGCCTGGCCCTCAGCCCCCCACCCTGCCCAGCGATCGGGGTGTTGTTTTGCAGCCAGCCTGGCCTCTGCCGCCCTTAGACTTCTTGCTATTCTGGCTGCAACTTGCTGAGAAAAACACTTGAGAGTCTCTCGCTGCCCACACCCACGCACTTGAAATACCAGGCCCGCAGGTCGCTTTAATGAGGGAATTTGGCTAATGACAGGTGTGCTCCGGGGGGGCAGCGCCCACTTCTGCAGGTGCTGGCCAAGAAGGGCTGCATCTCGGCAGCCGGGGGCCGGTGGGCGGAGCACGGGCTTCGGGCAGCCATGCCCAGTGGCTACCTGGAGCCCATTGTCAAGGGCATGCGGGGTCTGGCCCCAGGAAGACACAGGAAGAGGAAGGCAGGGCTTTCACCCCAGAGAAACACCAGTCGCCTGTGAGAAGACAGTCACCCCGTCTGCGAGATAATGAGCAGATGTCCTCGTACCTACTCAGCTGCAGACAGAGGCCGTGGTGCCGAGGACTACAGGTCACCTGCTGGGTGGACCAGACCCCTCGCAGAGAGGATCCACGCGGCAGCCTTGCTGGGCGGACTCCCTGTGACTGCACTTAGGATGGCGGCACAGAATGTGAGACTTAGGATGGCGAGCAGTGATTTGGCAGACCCCCACTTTGGTTGAATGTCCCTCCTCGGGAGGCTGGTCCGCGGCTACCCAGGGCTCCTCAGAAGGGCTCAGCAGCTGGAAGCCCAAATGCAGCCCCAAAGAACCTGCTTTTCAACCCTAACCCAGGTTCACAGTCTTCCAGGTTCACAGGACAGTTTATGTACATTAGTCACAGGAACAATCCTCCATTTTTGGAACAGCGGTAGAGTACCATGAGTTTGGATTCCTTGTCCTGGTTTGCAATTGGAGATTTATGACAACGGCAACAATAACACAAAGAACAGTGAGAGTAAATCTTGGGGACTCTGCTCTATGTAGGAGCTGTGTGAATTTGAGAAAATTACCTAACTTCTCTGAGTCTTAGCTTGGCTATCTGTTAATTAAAGGTAGTAAAGTCTATCTTGTTTATTTCACGAGGTTATTGTGAATACCAAATAAAATGCTTTATGGGCGAGTGTTGAAAAGTTGTAAGCTCTACCCAGACCTAAAAATGCCAATGTGATGAGCACGTTCTTTGATGTCATTTAGGAAATCGTGGATAGGACAGCCATGGGAGGACCAGGGTAGGAGCAAGACTGTGCAGAGGGCAAAACGAACCCTTAGGACAGTTGCTGCTGTGTTGAACAGCGTCCCTAAAAATTCACATCTGCCTGCAATCTCAAAATAGTCTCATTTAGAAACAGTGACTTCACAGGCGTCATCCAGTTCAGGTGAGGTGTGCTGGCCTGGGCAGGCCCCAAGTCCATGACTGCCGTCCTGACCAGGAGAGGGAGATGGGCCACAGCCACGTGAAGGGGAGCAGGGATTGCCAAGCAGTGCTGGCAGCCACCAGCAGCCAGGAGGAGGCAGGAAGGTCCCCCAGCGCCTTGGAGGGGTGCGCGGCCCTGCCCACGCCGTGGCTTTCCACGGGCCCCCAGAGCTGTGGGCCATACGCACAGGTGGTTTTAAGCCACCCGTTTGTGGCAGCTCATCATGGCAGCCCTGGGGAATGGACTCGGCGTTTTTAGGAAGCCTGTGAAGTGCCAGCGCCATCGGTGACAGAGGAAGCAGTCGCCGTGTCTGGGGCCTCTGGGTGGCGATTGGAGAGTGTGACGTCTGCATGTCACATGGCGCCCCCCAGCCTCCTGGCTCAGCAGGTCGGGGAGCTGAGATCTGGGGAGCTGGGATGGGCTGGGCAGGCGCCCGGCCTCCCGGAGGGAGCCGACTGCCCCGTCTCCCTCCAGCACCCGAGGCCTTCTCAGGACTGGGAAGTGTCACTGCCATTGCTGGTGCCCCATCCCTCTCCCTGGCAGCCCCTCCCACACCCCCCTTTCCCAGTTCTCTTGGAGTGGCGCCTGCCGGGTACACAGCGTGCGTGGTCCCTGTCCTCGAGGAGCCAGGCCCTGGGTAAAGGAAGGGGAGAGGGCTTATAAGCTGTCGAAACACCGCAGAGCACACTGCCCTCCGCAGGGGAGGCCACCTGGAGCGCTGGCAGCCAGTGCCAGCGGTCTCCAAAGGCAGGGGTTCTCAAGCAGCCACTCCTGAGTGGCTGGGCATGTGGCAGGGTGACAGAGACCCCTCGGGCCCTACAATGGGGAAGATTCTAGAAGCTGGCTCTGAGAGTGCATCTTGATGATATAGTTGTGAAGTTCATGGGTTCTTGATGAGGAGGGACAGACTGACCATGGGGCCTGGAGGAAGAGTCTTCCCCAGTAGGGGGTCGCGGGGGTGCCGCTGCTGCCCCCTGATGTCTTTTCAGCCAGCAGCGACCAAGCGAGGGGCCTCCGTGCCACCGCCATCCTGCGCCCCCTGGCCGGCCCACCAGAGCCTCTGCCCTCTGTTCCTCCAGAGCTGCTGGATGCCAGGGCAGGACACCATCTGGAGTGTCACCCGTCACATCTGTCTGATGGTGGCGAGGCTCTAAAGCTCGACAGGACTCTCCCAAAGGAGAAGCAGCTGGGGCCAGGGGGGACAGCGTCTCCTGGCCACCTTGCGGTGGCCCACAGGGTCTTTTGAGGCAAAACAGGTGCCATCCTCCCACCTCACGTGCGGGGTCAGGAGGTGGATCCATGTCCTTGGGGAACGTTAGGTGGAGGCGCCTCCTGAGGGGTCCCTGGCTCGCGGTGGCCCTGGAGCAGTTTTCCGTGGCCTCCCCTTCTATGGAAACAAGCGTGACAACTGGAAATATCCCCACTTCCTAACGTCAGGGAGGAAGATGAGCGGAGTTTTAAAATGATGCATGACTTGGGGGATGGGCATGGCTTGTTTTCCTTTCATTTATTTTGGGTCCTGTTTCTGCTGCACGATTAAGAGAAATTGTGCTAACTAAAGAACTGCACTTAGATATGGGTTCAAATGTTAGACTCTGGGCAACAGAGAAGACACACAACACACACACACACACACACACACCTCTGAACGCCTGTAACGGTCTCTGTTTTCATGGTTTGGCTGACATGAGCTCCTTCGTCCTCCCTGGAACCCTAGAAGGTAGAAGTTTTGTGTACCCACCTTCCAGGCAAGCACACTGAGGCCCAAAGCTGTGTAGGCCTGAGGACTTGCCATAGGTCCAGCAGAGTTCACACCCAGAATCCATCCCCCACGTCACTTGTCCGGGAAGAACTGTGTTTAAACACAGGCAGTGAAGGTGCGCTCACCTTTCCTAAGCGCAGGTAAAGCGTGTGCAAGGCTGTCCACCTGTGTATCTAAGCTAGTGCTTACTGCTCCTTGGTCTGTCGGTTACGTATCCTTAAGCTCATTTGCTGGCCATGAATTTCATTCTAGACAATCCCATGAGTGTCCCTGATAACTTTGGGTATTTACAAATAATATCTAAAGCCAACCAGCAATTAATATCTAAAAAGACCGAGTAATTCTAACTGAGCATATCCTCAGATTTAGAAATTCTGTCTTTTCTAATCCTGAGATGTGCAAAAAGAGGGAAAGATGCAGTTCCTTCTGTTCCTCTTCGCCCTGATTTTATAAATAATTGGGGCGGGCGATGGGTGGAGATGAGGGACAGGGACGGAGAGCTGCCAGTCCGACCCTGTGATCCCTGGAGCCTCACCCTGGAGCCTGTTTGCTGGCTGGTGAGCAACGGAAAGTCCTGTAGCTGCACCTGGACCGATACCAGAGGTGTGCATCCCAGACACAGCAAAGCAGACCCGCCTGGGGACCCTAGCCTGGCCTGAAGCGCCCGCCTCTCCCCTCGAGAGCTGGAGAGCATTAATGAATCATCAGTTACCCCACAGACGTATTCGGGCCACCCCCTCATTCTTTTCATTCTGTTTTGTGTCCCAACAGGGAAGAGCTTCACTCTGACCATCACCGTGTTCACAAACCCACCGCAAGTAGCCACCTACCACAGAGCCATCAAAATCACAGTGGATGGACCCCGAGAACCCCGAAGTAAGTGGGCCCCCTTGGGGTCGGTACACTCTCTGGCCTGGTACATTCAGGAACCCACTGTGTCTCACAGTCTGTGGCTTCACCACCCAGGGAGATGTCAGGGCCCTGCAGAGAGAAGGAATTTCATGGTCAACACATTCACTTCTGATGTTGTCTCTGGGCACTGGGCTGTTTTTGAATCATGCTTTTAGAGGTCAAAAGGAAATTTAGCTGACTCAAGTGCACGTTGGAACCATTTTAGAGCTGAATGAGACTAAGGACAAGTTCCTCAACAGTAAGTGAAGTTCAGTATTATCAGAAACAAACAATGAATAGAAGATTGGTCAGGTACAGGGTAGACCAAAAAAAAAAAAAAAAGACCTGAGGGTCAAAGTAGACCAAAGGGACTGACCACCATCCATGCCAGTTTTCATTAATTTGTTAAAGCCAAAGATGAAAACTCTGAAAATGAGCCTCTTCTTTTTTCTGGCATAGATGAAAATCCCACTACAGGATTGTTTAAAATAGAGAATAGGAGGGTAGAGGAGTGCCTGGGGGAAACCAGTAAATATAGAAGATGGTACCAAAAAATAGCTCCTGTGAGGAAAGCTTTTAAAAAAGGAGTGGGGTTGTTTAGTCTGCAGAAAAGATTTCTTCACAGTGACTTAATGACTATCTTTGAGTAAACACAGAGTAACACTCTCTTCCCGAGCCACACCCTGCCCCAGGACCTAAGACTAGGCCATGGGTCTGTGTCTGTGGGCCGACTGGAGCCCTGGCTCAGCCCCTGCACGTCCCAAGCCATACCAGGTCCCTGGCGTGACATTAATACCCTCTTCTCAGAGTTGGGGATATCGAGAAGTGGGACTGCCTCCTGTCCCCAGAGGCTGCGATGCAGGAGGCCGGGGGGGTGGGCAGAATGGTTGAGAGTCTGGGCTCCGGGGTGAAGTGCTTCTGCCTTCGGCAGGTCTCAGAGCCTCTCTGAACCTGTTTCCTCATCTGCAAAATGGGGAGGAGAGTGAGCGTGCCTTTGTCAGAGCACATGAAATGATGTGCCTGGTGCAGAGAAAGGGCTTGGGAAATACAAGGGACCCCAGAGGGGCTTCTCTGCTCTAGCCCTTCACAGCCCCCTGGGGGGACCACCGCAGTGTGGTGGCCTTCCCTGCAGTCCTGGCCACACCCCATGCCCCGTTAGACCATTCCCCTGCCTAACCCCTCCTTCCCCTGTCCTGAGTGGTGGAGCCTGCAGAGAGCCCAGCCCCCAGGGACGGCCCCCGGCTCCAGCACAGGTCCCCTCCCCTCCACTTCTGACCTCTGTTTTCCCTGGAGGGTCTCTTGGCCTTTCTCTTGAAGCCCATAGAGTCTGCCTGGCCTTGCCCAGACTCGGGGAACCCTAGGGCTGACAACACCCCTGATTCCACTGTGTATGTAAACAGCAGACCAAAGTTGGGGGACCATATAGTTGTCACACAACCCAGGAACCACTGTGGCACGTCCCAGGTTTCCAGAGTAGGAGTGGCTAGCTGAAGACCAATAGGGACCCTGCATTACATGTGACAACACCAAAGGGCCAGGCTGTCCACAGAGGACCACAGAGGAAGCAGGCCTGCAGCAGGCAAGGAGTGGGGCTGGAGGAAACTGCGGTGAGCAGACTCAGGAAGGCCATTCAGGGGCTGTGGACCCGCTGATGCTGGCCTGGTCTAGGCACTCGCACTGGGAACCCCTGATGTGCCCTCTACGCCTGTTACTCTCTCATGCATAAAAAGGCTGGTTTTACCCCACTGCCAGCATTTCCTGTTACATTTCCTGCAAAGACCTGATGAAGTCGTTCAACTTCAGCAAACAGAGAGTGGCTGCTCCGACTTTTAAGAATTGGCAGTCAGAAGGGAAAAATACATCTCCGTATTGTAACGGGCCGCCTGCATTACAGTTTACGCAGCCCCTGCTGTTTTATAACTTAAGGACAGTGTAGGAGAAGGGCCGTTTGAACAGGCAGAAGAGATCTGCTCCAGAGAGGCACCAATTTGTGCACAGTCTTTCCTGCCAAATGGAATTTGGGGTCTAGAGAAAAATTAAATGGGTGGAAATAAGGATAAGTAAGATATAAAGAGATGTTTTAGCCCCAGGTAGACAGGCTCAAATTTCACATGAGAGTTCTATTAAAAAAGCCAAATGCAAACAGACTCCCAGGGCAACTTGGGAGACACTGACTTTTCTCTGTGCCCTGTAGAGCCAGAGCCGGCTGGCTGTCTGCTGGTTCTCATGAGCCTCTTGTGCTTCCTGGTTGAACATCTTGATTCAGGGAGGGGGCTGCTTCTTGGATGGAGTTCCACTCACAGTGGCTTTGAATGTAATGGGCAGGGAGGACCCTGCGTGAGCCTTGGAGCCTGAGTTGGTGTCAGGTCTCTGGATTACTAAGACCACTCCATCTCCTCCAGGATGATGAGTGTGAATTCTGTGCCATTCTAGCAGAACAGCCTTGCCATCATGCACCAGGTTGAATAGTGTTGCAAAGTTCTCTTGTTCCTCGAAATCACAGACTCTGGGAGCTAGAAGGGATGTTAGGGAGCCACCAAGATAAACACTCAAAGCTAAGGGCATGCAGCCCCAGAGAAATGCTGTGATCAGCCTCAGCCTAAAAGAAATGGTGCTGAGTCAGAATTAGAACAGGAGCCCTGACACTAACCTTGGACTCTTAGCCATCAGTCCTCGGGTTCATTCCACATCCCCAGGACAGTCTCAGACATCATCTTTCTCTCTCTTTTTTTTTTTTTTTTGCAGGGGGGATGGTGGTACTAGGGATTGAATTCGGAGCACCCCAACCACTGAGCCACATCCCCAGCCCTATTTTGTATTTTATTTAGATACAGGGTCTCACTGAGTTGCTTAGCACCTAGCTTTTGCTGAGGCTGGCTTTGAACTCACGATCCCTCTTGCTTCAGCCTCCCGGGCCAATGGGATACAGGCATGTGCCACTGCATCTGGTTCGCATATCATCTCTTAGGAATGCCCCTGATCCTGGCATCCTCACCCTTGAACTGAGCAAGTGGCTAATATGAATTTTCAATTGGTCCTGGACCTGAGGTTGTCTAGAAAGGTAGCCTCAGAGCCTTCAGTTTGCAGGGTTTGTGCAAAAGTCCCAAGGGAAGGCTCCCCTTGCTCACCTGCCATCCAGGTAACTGAGTCAAGGACAAAGCATGGAGAAGGGCGCACAGTCAATCTGTTGGACACACTGCTGGGTGACTAGATGCGTCCCTCCCCTCGCATGGTTTTCGGTGGTGACGCTGTAGTACAAGGTGTATTCCAAAGAAAATTGGAAGTGGTTTCCATTTCACGTGGTGACTTGTTTTTTTACAGTAACTGGTCTGCCACTGAATAAGTCCAAAACATGTTTTCAACGCATTCCATGGGATTTTTCCCCCCACATCTCAGAGCAATATAGAAATGAGTAATTATTGAAAAACTGAATTTATTATGGAGAAAAAGCACCATCAGCTAACGGGTTCTTATAAGAGGAGTTTCCCGTGGGTGGGTGGGACTCTCGGGGCCTCATTAATGTATGGACAGATAAGTTAAGCACAAAAGATACAGCAAAAGGGTTTTTCAGGAAGAGGATATAGAAGAGTAATTTTCTGTAGTCTTCCTATTTCTGGGATCCAGTGGGAAAGCTTCAGCTTTCTCTGCCGAGTCTGCAGTTAGTGACTCTGTGTTCGTGATGAGAGGCCAGAGGACATTCTCTGCAGGTATTTCACAAATAATCTGAACGCATGGTGTGGTTCCCTGAGATGGAGGAGATGTTCCGCTGGGGGGAGGTTAAGGAGAGCGAATGATTGGGGCGCCGAGGGGCCCGCAGGGGGCCACCCTGGTGTGGTCTGGGCAGCCGTCACCTGTCTGGTCAGATATCTGTTACATCTGGAACACTGAGAAACATTATTGAAACTCTCAAGAGGTCACTGAAGCAAGCACTGGCCATTTCTGGGGGTACCTACACCCTGGGGTAAAGGAGACCTTCACAGTGACTGCGCTCTGTGGGAGCTCTTGAGAGTCACGCGAACAGATAGCAAGGCGGAGCCATTCCTTAAAACTTTGGAGAACTTTCCAGAGTGTCCATCTTGCTGATTAGTCTTTTGTTATAGAGAGTTTTCATTAAAATAGGTCTTAGCCCCGTGCTGTCCAGTGACGTTTTTAAGTACTTTACTGAGATGATATCGTGCACATAATCTCTGACTTGAAAAGGAAATGGCAAACCTATTATCTGTGTCATTCTGCATCTACCTGCCCGTGAAGTAGGATCTTTAGAGATGCCGAGTGTGTTGTGAAGTGGCTATGGACTTAAAACACTAGAGACAGGCAGAAAACTGTGGGGCGAGTGTGTTTATGGACTGTTCTCGTGATTGGGTAACATACAGTACTTCTTCCAAATATTATTTTCTCTCAAAAATAAAATCAGTTACAATAACAGCTAATATTAGACAGTGTTAATTATTTGCCCAACACTGTTCAGAGTACTCCATGCATATCGATGTGTGGAATCTTTGGAAGAATAGATAAGGAAATTAAAACAGAAAGAAATTGAGGACCTTGCTGAGGTCCAACTAATAAGCCAGAAACGAAACTGAGAAGTGCAGACTCTGGAATCCACAGATGCCCTTGATCGTCCTGAAGGACTGTGCGGATTATTTCTTGAGCTTCACTGTGTGGTAATTCCTGTGTTTTTTATTAGACCTGCCAATACAGGTCTGGTTCACATACGGTTTTCTTCACGGATATAGAACCCTGCCACTTTGCAGTTTTTACTTTGTGAGGAAGGAATTGGTGTCTTCTTCCAGGTGGGGCTGGAGTGACATGCACCCCAGAGGAGCCCCTAACACACAGACGCTGCCACCGTGGTCACATGTGCTGGTTGATGCTGCATGTCACCTAGCTCTGCTTGGGGACGCGCATTAGTGGGGACCTAACCCAGAGCAGCACATAGCATGGACCCTGCGGTGGGCACCCTGGAAAGAAGAAGGCAAGGCACA